ACCGCGGGGTCCTCGTACTCGTCGGGGCAGGTGAACTGGTCCTGGGGGGAGGACGGGGCCGAGGCTGGGGGACGCGGTCAGGACCCACTCCCAGGCCTCACCCTCTGCTCTTTGGACCCTGAGCTGGACAGAGGACGCCTTGTCCCACCGTCCCAACCGCTGGACTTGCCCAGGGAATTGCTGCATGGCTCACGTTCCCAGGACTTCCCAGGACTGTGGGGTGCCTCTGGTTGGTCCCCTTCTCTAGCCACCTCCCCCCATCCTCGTCAGCATCCCCACCCCTAACCGCTCTGCAGGGCAACCTGCGCTGGCCGGTCAGGAGCATGCGGGCTGCCTCGGTGCTCCGTCCCCAAGTCACAAACCCCCTTGTGAATGTCGCACGGGGAAGGGGACCGCGTTCTCAGAGCTGAATTCCTCTCCTACGGCTTCAGGCTGGTCCTTATAAGGAGGGTGCTGACCTGGTGGAGCTTGAGGGCCATCCTGATGGCTGGGGCCACCACCTTCTGCAGCAGGTCCATGTCGGCGAACACCCACTCATCCCGGGCGGCGACCCTGAAGTCGCCCTTGAAGAGGGCGTGGAGGCCGTGCAGGAAGGAGTCCAGGCTGCAAGATAGGGTTTCTCAGGGAGTGTCCGTCGGAGCTGCGTCAGGGTCAAGTCAAGGTGTCCCAGCGAACAAAGCAGAGCCGTGCCTACGCTGGGCTGCCGTGCACGGCTGACCTGGGAGTCAGTGTTCCAAGTCACCTGGTGTTTTTCCCAAAGATTTTCTCATGGGTTTTGAGTCGTTAGAGAAAAAATAATGTATCATGACCATGTGCAGCTTATCTCAGAATGGTAAGGATGTGGAAAATGATTAAACATCTCAGATTTAAGGAGAATATCATCACCGGAGTAGCAAACTGAATCCATCGTTAGAGAAAAAATAATGTATCATGACCATGTACAGCTTATCTCAGAATGGTAAGACTATGGAAAACGATTAAACGTTTCACTCAGAGATTTAAGAAGAATGTCACCGGAATGTGTGCCCCAGATTTTGAAAGACTTCGCATTCTTTCCCGATAATACCATGAGAATAGCCCCTAAAGATCAATATCGAACAAAAATGGGGAGAGCATAGAAGTGAGCAGGCAATTCACAGGGGAAAAAAAATGTAATTGACCAATGAACATGGAGGAAGAGTCTTAAACCCTCACTGGCAGTAATGGAAATACAAATGAAGGAAGAGGGAGATACAGGATCTTGCCCATGAGACTAGGAAAATGAAAAAGATGAAGTGTCCAGCGTTAGTGCGGCTGCGACACAGCACCCTTGGAGAGCGTCCAACGTGGGACAGCCTTTTGGGGGACCACTTTCGCTGAGTCTCTTAAAATGACGCTTAGAAATCATTTGAGCGCCGGAATCAATTCTTTGCAAGCGCCCCCATGTATTGAACTCCAGCATATGAAATGCAGGGCACAGCTGTGGGGTTGAAGCAGAGGTGGGGCTCCGGCCTCCCGCCCCCACGATCTACCCAAGAAGTCAGAACCTCATGGATCCGAACACTGGCCTGGGCAACGTGCACCATCAGTCACCTGCAAGTCACGGCTGCACTGAGGATGGGGGGCAGGGCTTACAGGGTGGGCCCCCCGGAAAGCGAGCCTCCCCCCAAACCACCGCATTGCTCCCAGACTGATCTCATCGCCGCCTTTGGAACGCGAGGGGCTGTCACAGAGGATTAGGAGCTGTTTGAAACCCAGGAAATCCCATCAAAACCAGGCTCGGAAAGCAGCTGGAACGCATGGCGCTTAATCAGGGAAAATAAATAAAGCCGGGCAGGCGAGGAACACCTGGTCAGGGGCCGCGGCGGAAGCTACGCCAAGAGCCGGCCCCGGGGAAGCCTTGGGAAAGCGCTCCGCTCAGCCCGCAAAGCGAAACCTCTGCGGCCTTTGGTGTGCAATTTGTACAGGAAATGGAAATTTCTAGAAACCTGCGAATCAAGCGACGTGCAGATCACGGCCGGGGTGCTGTGACTCGAGCCGTGAGCCCTGTGAGCGGAAGGCCAGGGGCTCCCCTGTGAATCAGAGATCAGACCTGGGTGACAGGGTGAGCGGCTGGGAGGGTCAGGGGAGCTTCGATTTGCTTTTGTTCTTTAAGAAGAGAAACTTGAACTGTTTTCACGCAGAGAGAGCAGGGCCCGTGGAAAGAGAGTTTGAACAAGCAGCAGGGGCCTCCATTCGGCAAGGCCGCCGGGCAGAGCAGGGTGCAGACGGGAGCAGGGACGTGAGAGACGGTGGGAAAAAAGGGACGTTTACTGAGCAGGGACCTTGCCGGGCTTTCATGTGCACGATCCCCTCGCATCTGCCCAGCAAACCTGCACGGACCCTCCACACAGACGCCCAGGGTTCCGGGGTCTGGACTGTTCCCCGTTAACGCCAGGTTCAAGTCTAACGCTCGAAGAGATCACTGATGGGTCTGTCGCTGCCCAACAGGGTCACTATGGAGGGACCGTCCGAAAGACGTGTGAGCAGCCCACATGCAAAAATGATTGAAAAGGCCTGTCAAAGCCAAGCAGTGCCAGTGCCTGTCCGCCCCCTGCCCCCCCGCGTACCTGAGAGCCATGCTGTGCGCGGCCGTGCCCAGCGCTCTCCTCCCCAGGATGCAGAGGGCAAAGGCCAGGGTCACCAGCGGGGAGTCCTCGTCGCTGTCCAGGGTCTGCGAGGCCTGAAAGAGCAGGGATGTTACCTCGCCCGTCACAGCTGCCCGCGTGCGCCACGGCGTCACCCGTGTGCGGCCGGGGCAGGTGAGGTCCGCTCAGTGTCAGCAGCCTCCGCCGTGAGCGGCTCTGGGCCGCTGCTTCCTGCCTGAGGTCGTCTCTCAGGTGGCTCACATGCCAAGGAAACTGACGTGAGGGCACAGGGCTGGCATGGGGCTTGCTGACCTCGTCGCCGGGCAGTTTGCATCTGGCACCTCAGGCCATGAAGATGGTCAGAGATTAGAGTCAACCGAATGCCCACCTTCACCCCGTCCGTGCCCACCTTCACTCTGTCCATGCCCACCTTCACCCCATCTGTCCCCACCTTCACCCCGTCCATGCTCACCTTCACCCTGTCCATGCCCACCTTCACCACATCCGTGCCCACTTCACCCTGTCTATCCCCACCTTCACACTGTCCATGCCCACCTTCACACGGTCCATGCCCACCTTCACCCCATCCGTGCCCACCTTCACCCCGTCTGTGCCCACCTTCACACAGTCGACACCCACCTTCACATGGTCCATGCCCACTTCACTGTCCATGCCCACCTTCACACTGTGTTCACCTTCACATGGTCCGTGCCCACCTTCACCCCGTCCGTGCCCACTTCACCCTGTCTATCCCCACCTTCACACTGCCCAGTGCAAAGAGGCTTTCTGTTCTCCCTCTGACGAGAGCCACTGAACCGACCAAAGTCCACAATCGGCAACTAAATTACATGACTCTCCCACACTTCACTGTCCATGCCCACCTTCACACTGTGTCCACCTTCACAGGTCCATGCCCACCTTCACCCCGTCCATGCCCACCTTCACACAGTCGATGCCCACCTTCACATGGTCCATGCCCACTTCACTGTCCATGCCCACCTTCACACTGTGTTCACCTTCACATGGTCCGTGCCCACCTTCACCCCGTCCGTGCCCACTTCACCCTGTCTATCCCCACCTTCACACTGCCCAGTGCAAAGAGGCTTTCTGTTCTCCCTCTGACGAGAGCCACTGAACCGACCAAAGTCCACAATCGGCAACTAAATTACATGACTCTCCCAAGTCGGCTTTAAGAGGCAGCAGGAGGGGACTGGCAGCAGGAGGGGACGGGCAGAGGGCATTTAAAGCCCAAGTGTCTTTAGCAAGAAAAGGGGAACGAATGATCTCAGGAACCAGCTGAGGGGAGAGGAGAGCCGTCCCGGGAGCAGTAGGAATCTCGACAGAGGCCCTTGTGGTTTCCAGTGAATTCCCCTCGAAAGGCCAGCGCCCGGCCTGGAGAAGTAAACTGAGGCAGGAAATGAAATCCAGGCCCTGACCCTGAGCACGGACCACGGAGATGGGCCTTCAGGCTCCTCCATCGGAGCTACGGCCGGTGGCTTGTAGCATTACCAGATGCCAATGCTTTTCCCGCCTTTAGTTTATTCATCTACCAGGGAGGACAGGAGAGACCGGCTGTACAGTTTTCCTGGTTCACTTTTTTTAAAAAAACATGATTATTGACTTCAGAGAGGGTGCGGGGGGGAAAGAAACATCCGTGATGACAGAGAATCATCAATCATCAGCTGCCTCCTGCCCGCCCCTCACTGGGGATGGAGCCCACAACCCGGGCATGTGCCCTGACCGGAATCAAACCATGACCTCCTGGCTCATAGGTCGACGCTCACCCACTGAGCCACACCAGCCGGGCAGTTTTCTTGTGTTTTTTTTTCACTTAGAGTCAAGGCCCCAGCCCTGCCCGCACCCTCCTCCCCCGCCCCCACACACACACCTCCTGGGTCCTCCGCGCGCAGTGCTGGATCCACTCGAGGTAGACGCTGCAGTAGCTGGCCCGCGTGACGCCCTGCAGACACGGCACGTAGTCCTCGTCGATGTTGATGTTGAACACGGCGAGGTCGCGCTCGATGTGATGCCACTTGGCAAAGGGCTGCAGCGCCGTCAGGAGGGCCGCGTCCTTGGTCCAGGAGAGGAGCTTGGGGGACGTGACCAGGTAGTAGATGATGCTCTGCGGGGAGGAACCAGGTCTGAGCCCTCGCAGCTGCTCCAAAGCCAGAGGGCTTGTTACTCACTGGAGCTCCTAACGCCGGCGGCTGTCAGAGGGGCAGGGGACACGCGATGGCCACGTGTGTCCTGTGTTTCCTGTGGGGGTGAGTGACAGAGCCCACGGGAGACATTCCCAAACCTCTCTAAGGGCCCCTGCGGGGACGAGGGAGGGGGGAGAACAGGATGTCACAGACGGACAAGGACCGACTCTGGGGGAGAGAGAAGGACAGCCAGCCCTCTCCTGGCTGGGACGCACGTGAGACCCTGGCTTCTGTGGGCGCCAGGCTGGGCCGATCCCCCGGGGACAGGCAGACCCTCCTCCAGGTCTTGCCACGCAGTGTTTGATGGACTAAAACAGCAAAGCTGCACTCGGCCCTATGAACCAAGAGGTCACGGTTCGATTCCCGTCAGGGCACATGCCCGGGTTGCGGGCTCCATCTCCAGTGTGGAACGTGCAGGAGGCAGCTGATGCATGATTCTCTCATCATTGATGTTTCTATCTCCCCCTCTCCCTCCTTCTGAAATCAATAAAAATATATTTTTTAAAAAAATAGGTCGGCTCAAAGTTACAAGCACATGAGGCTCTGTGACCGTGGCCAGAGTGCCCGCGTCTCAGCTGACAGTTACGGGGGAAGAAGTGTGTGTGTCCACACATCTGGCTCCAGCCCACATCTGGCCTCGTTTCCCCGGTAGGTCCTAATCACGTGTCCCCGACAGGAATAACAAACAAATCAAAAGACGGGCGTTTCGCTTTCCACTCATTTCCAAGGAATGAAAATACCCTCCACGGATGAAGTCAGACTAGTAAACGAGATCTTTGACCTCCAGAGGTCACAACCCCTTCCTCCGGTTCTGGCAGAACCCTACAGCCTTGACTTTGGAACTTGACCCCAGCCGGGTGCTCAGCTCTCCCGGGCGAGGGGACTGGGACCGTCCTTCTCACCAGGAGGAGAGGGGACACGCCAGCAGCTGCAAACCGTACCCCATTTCCACTTCATTTAAGCAGAAATCCCATCCGGAACGCGGACGCTGTGAACCCCCCTGAACCTGTCAGGACGAGATAGACAGGCCGCTGAGTGAAACTGACAAGGAACCAACTGCGCGTGAGAACCGACTGCGTAGACCCCGATCCGGGCTGGAGGCAGGACCCCTTCTGGCGGGACCCTCCCGCTCCTCATTTTAATTGCAGATCAGCGCGTTCTCTCACTCCCGGGTGGGTCGGGCAGCAGACCCCCGCGTCCCTGTGGGCCCAGCTGCCAGGCCAGCGATAAGCCATCTCCTTTGTCCGGAGACAATGGCACCGGGACCCAGGCGCCTCGGGAAGCCGCGTCTGGACCCACAGGAGGGTTTTAGACCTGAGTGAATGGAGAGATGGCGGGGACCCAGGGGACCCTCCGGCCCGGCGAGGAAATGACTTCAAATGGATGCATGGGGGGCTGGGAGCTGACTCGGTTCATTGGGAGATCAAACAACCCTTCTGTGCAAAGGAATTAGCCTACACTTTCCCCCCCTGCTCCGATCTGCCTGCCAGTGAAAAACAATACAGAGAATAACATGGACCCCGTGAGAGCCGATGAGATTCAGAGCCACGAAGGCGCCTGCAGTGACCAGGAACCAAAGAGGGTGTTCCTCACTTTTCACCCCACAACGCTGCTCCTTCCAACGGCCGCGCAGCCTCCCGAAACCCTAACCTCCCGCCACCGGGCAAGGACAGTCCCGAGACCTGGACACCGAGGTGGCCTCACGGCGAAGGTGGTGAGGACGAACCACGCGTGTTTTAAAGATTCCACCACGGGAAAGGGCGTCACAGCACTCCTGGCTGCAGTCACGTCGGGGTGGGTACGCGTGGTTGAACCTCCGACCTCACAGTCTGTCCTCTGTTTCCTGTCACTATCAGCACACGCTGGGGCGCCCCGGGGCAGCCCCTCCAAATTTCCAACTGTCCTCTGAGCTGGTGAACTCCTGACCCTCCGCGCCTGGGGTTTTTGTCTTGTGTTTCCTCGTTGCTGCCTCCGCCTCGGCTGGCAGGGAGTTTGGGGTCCCAGGTGAATGGGGGTCCTCACTTGGAATGGCTCTGAGGATGCTCCCATCATGCAAAGTGCTCCCTCGGAACAGGAGCCACCCCAGGACCGTTCCAAGCCGAGGCTGACCTGCGGGCCCTCCCCGACCTGAGAAAACACCTTCGCCCCGCCCAGCTGTCACCCTCCGACCTGGTCCAGTCTCACTCTGGTCCTCCAGGGATCTGGGTCCAAACCGGCCCGTCTTCCGAGCTGCATGTGCATTGGGCAGACGGTACCGAGCAGGTACGTGATGGGCGCTCAGTCTCCACACGCGGAGGAGAAGGGCTGCTGAGGCTAATCGGGAACGGGTCGCTTAGCTCTGTTTTCGAGTTAAGTTTAGCTTAGGACGTCATTCTGGTCATTCTCACGGGCAAATGCACAGAGCATCTAAACCGACACTTGTAACGTGTAATCGGCTGGGTCATGTTTTCAGGATGTTGCCATTCATCACCACCAGCATTACCATAACTGGAGCTGTGTTAGAAGCGAGACAGCCCCGCCGGCGTGGCTCAGTGATTGAGCATCGACCTATGAACCAGGAGGTTACAGTCTGATTCCTGGTCAGGGCACCTGCCTGGGTTGTGGGCTCGATCCTCAGCAGGGGGTGTGCAGGAGGCAGCCAATCAATGGTTCTCTCTCATCATTGATGTTTATATCTCTGTCTCCCTCTCCCTTCTTCTCTGAAATCAATACAAATATATTTAAAAAAGAAGTGAGGAGACAGACCTGGGTGAGAGGCGGACTGCCTGTTAGAACCTGACTCGGCCTGGACTCCGGCTACCCCACAGCCTCGAGGGTTTTTCACAGGTCCGGCCGGGCCCCACGTGACGGGTACCTTGACGTAGTAGCGGATGAGGATCCTGCGCAGGTCGAACACCTGCAGCATGGTGGCCGCGTTGTTGTCTAGGACGCTGTAGCCCTCCAGGATGTACTGCGTCCGCGTGACCTCCCAGGTGAGCCAGCGCAGGTGGAAGGCGGCGTTGCAGGACAGCAGGTGGGGCAGGTGGCCGGGCTGGCAGCAGCAGCAGCCCCGGTCGTCCTCGTCGCCCTCCATGATGGCCTCCACCTCCCTCTGCTGGCAGTAGGTTCCTGGCGGAGCAACGGGACGTGAGTTTTATAAAGAGGTCGGGTGGGGGGTGGGGTGAAGGGGTGGTGGCAGGGGGGGAAAGGTAGGGGAGCCTGTGCTGAGAAGGGAATTCCCTCCTACCTTTTTTTATTATTATTATTGATTTCAGAGAGGAAGTGAGAGGGAGAGGGAGAGAGAAACATCAGTGATGAGAGAGAATCATTGATTGGCTGGTTCCTGCACGCCCCACACTGGGGATCGAGCCCACAACCCGGGCCTGTGCCCTGACCGGGAATCGAATCGTGGCCTCCTGGTTCAGAGGTCGATGCTCAATCACTGAGCCATGCCGGCCGGGCCCTCTTGCCTTTTTTGAGGGACAATGACCACTTATAACTGTACGAAGGCAGCTGGGCCACGCTATTTCTCATTCTACCAGCCAAGCGTGCAGTCCTTCCTCGTTAGAGGGGACTTCCTAAGTTTTATGTGATGATAACTCAAGTCACTGACTCCCAGCAACCTTCACACCCAGGCGATCCTCACCTCGGAATTCCAGCCCTCGGAGCTGGAAGGTGACGAGGCCGTTTCCGACCTCGATCAGGTGGACGAAAGCATTGAGGTAGTCGGAGGCCAGGATAAAGCAGTCGCCGGAGCTGTAGTTCCCCCAGCGCCCGAGGACCAGGTCTCCGCAGAGGGACTCCTGGAGGGACCGCGTCAGGTGCTCATAGAAGATGGAGTTGAGGTTGTTGTCATCACTCGCTGAAGAGAGATGAGACACATGCCAGGTGAGTGCTGGGTCCTGCGCCCTCAGATCCAGGAAGCAGAGCTGTCATGTGATCAGGGCTAAATCAGGCCTTTCAGATACTTCGCCATCTCAGTGGATGTGGTGGGACCCCCCTGTTTTTCCCTGACACATGTTCTACGCCGTCTCATCTACATAATTGGACTGAAGTCGAGTTAAATGCAGAACACCTAAAAATCCATGTCTCCCACAGGGACCCCCTGTCTGAGCTCTAGACCAGCGGTCGCCAACCTTTCGGACCTCAGGGACCACCAGTGGTCCACGGGTCACCGGTTGGCGACTGCTGCTCTAGACCTTATACCCACGTGTCTACTTCTCCTGTGTGTCTACAATGCCTCACCTTCAACATGTCCCAAGCGGGCCCCTCTGTTCCCAGACTCAGTCAGCTGTAACCTCGGGGCCTTTGTTCCCACTTCTCCGCGCCCAAGCCTCTCCGTTTTCCTTTCTCCTAACATTTTCCGCATCTTCCTACCTCCCTCCATATCCAGGACCTCTGCCCTCTTCCCGGCTACATGATTGTCTCAGGTGGACACCCACACCTGCCTGGTGGGTTGCCTGTGTATCTTCCCTGGGACCTTATCTAGTGGATTCTCTATACCCGGGCTGAGTTAGCTTTTCAAATCTAACAGCTAGGTGTGCTAAGGCCCTGGTGGAGAATCAGTGCTCTTAAGATAGTGATGAGCTTTCTTTTTCTTTTTCTTTAATCCTCACCTGAGGATATTTTTCCATTGATTTTCAGAGAGTGGAAGAGAGAGGGAGAGACAGACAGAAACATCGATGTGAGAGAAGCGCATTGATCGGTAGCCTCCTACACAAGCCCCGACCAGGGCCCAGGCCGGGGAGGAGCCTGCAACCGAGGTACATGCCCTTGACCGGAATCAAACCCAGGACCCTTCAGTCACAGGCCGATGTTCTATCCACTGAGCAACACCAGCCAGGGCGAGAGAAGATTTCTTCACGTCACCTGTCATAGGGGCCCATGTCACTCATCATCCACGTGGGCTGAGCCGTGTCATGGTGTCTCACAAAGCGTCAGCACGTTTGGTTTCTATGCAGAAGAAGCTGCCTGGCCTCCATTTCATTCCTTTCCTATGATTCTCTGACACTGAATAGAGATGTGAGTCTCTGGCAGTTTTAAAGGAAGGGCCTGAGTGAGAAGTTTAACTTCTGCCTAATTGTCCAAATGATCTGATGCTTAAATGACACAAAACAACTTAATCCACCCAAAGTGGAGATCTCCTCAGAACACACTGACTACATATCTGCATAATTAGATTAAAATGAGATAAAATTATGCATAATTAAAGGCACAGTGCACTCAGGACACTGTCCATCTGCCCAGTGTCAATGGCCCTGGAATGTCACCGCGTCCCACAGCCGCCCCGAGAGACAGCTGTGCCCACCCCAACTTGTACGGCCAGGAAGTTCAACCAAAAGTAAACCTCTCTCTCCAGGTATTCTCAAATTTCAACTGATGAGTTCCAATTAGTCATGTGCACGCAACTCAAATACAGATAATGGGCGGCCTACAGTTCTCCCCAAACAGAATTCCTGGCCCGGGGGAGGGGGAGGTGGGTAAAAATAGAAGTTAATATTTGCATTCTGATCCGAGAAAGAAAAAGGAGGCAGAATGATTGCAAATTAGGTAGATTATGGAAAGAAAGAAAAAAAAAGTGAAATAATGTTCTAGCAGGTCAATCCTTCCATAGCTTCATGCTGAAGGGAAGTTCTGGAGGCCTCTGGACCCTAGAGCGTGGATGGTGGGATGACCTGCCTTTAGGGACAGGCCACCGTCCGAGCCTGCTGTGTCGCCACATGATGTTTCCTAGGAGACCAAGCTGCCAGCGTCTGTACGTGATGTTTATGGCACAGACACACACGTCTGAACGAACAGAGGCGTTCGATGCTGAGTTAATTCTACGTGACGACGAACTCACTTCCACAGAGAATCGGTCCGCGTGCCCCGCCTGTCTGCCCAGCTTTATCTGTACGTTGGCGTATTATGTGCGTGGTCTCCGTGGTAATTTCAAGGAGCAAGTACTTCATCCCCTGGTTGGATCGAAGGACTCCACCCACAGGACAAAGGACATCGTTTGAATAAAAGAGAAGGAAGGGGACGTCTCACCTGGGTCCCTCTCCATCTGGACGGCCAGTCTGGTGTTGGAGTTATCCACGCGCCTGGTGCTGCAGGGGCCACAGAACAGGGAAAAGTCACGGTGAGACCCCGCAGGCCAGAGAGCTGGTTTGCAGACATGGCCGTGCGAGTGGGGAACGCACAGGAGGTGAGGATGATGGCTCCAGTTTGACAACGCTGCAGCGAGGGGTCCCGGGGACAGAGAGAGGGAAACGCACGGGAAACACGCGGAGGGAAGAGATGAGGAGTTCTCAGGGTTAGGGAGCACAGCCTTGTGCCTGCTCAATGTGGAACGCCCGATCCAACCGACAAAAGCCGGCACTGGACTGCCACCAGAGTGTCCGTCTCAGCACTCAGTGCACCCGTAGCATCTTTCTTTGCCACGATTCCAGAGATCATGGCAAGTGCTCAACGTCTCCGCCACTTGCTTTCAAGAGTTAGGGGGCAGCCCAGCCAGTGTGGCTCAGTGGTTGAGTAATAACCTACGAGCCAGGAGGCCACAGTTTGATTCCCTGTCAGGGCACTTGCCCGGGTTGCAGGCTCGATCCCCAGTGGGGGGCGTGCAGGAGGCAGCCGATCAGTGATTCTCTCTCATCATTGATGTTTCTCTCTCTCTCCCTCTCCCTTCCTCTCT